GGACCTTGCACTTGCGAGGCAGGCGGCAGAACCACTGAGCTAAATCCCTGGCTCCCCAATCTCCTTTCGAAAAATTTTACATTGAGACATAGACACACTAAGGTGTCCAGGCTGACCTTGAACTTATGTTTGAACTTATGATCCTCTTGCCTCAGCTTCCTCCGTAGCTGGGATTACAGGTGTGCACTGCCATGCCCAGCACTCTTTGTTTTTTGTTTGTGTTTTGGTACCAGGGATCAAACTCAGGACCTTGTGCTTGCAGCGCCACTGAGCTAAATCCCTAGTCTGCTGTTTGTTTTTTGAGCTGGGATCTTGCTAAATTGCCCAGGCTGTTCTTGAACTCCTGGCCTCAGCCTCCCAAAAAGCTGTGACTAGAGGTGTGTGCCGCCATGCCTGGTATTCCCTTGCCTCTTTAAACTTGACTCTGGATGCATTCCTTGGGGGGACAAGAGGTGGCCTGTGTCATCCTGGTTCCTGTGTCTTGGGCACAGAGGCTCTTAGTGGGCAGTAGTAGCTACCTTGGAACCCTTCTTGAGAGCAAAAAGCTGTGTAGTTACTCCTGCCAAGTGCCACCTTTGTGGGGTAATTCCTCATTTCTCCAGAGGCGCTATTGAGCTCATAAGGTATTAGAGCCAAAACCAGTTTAGAAATCATCTGGCCAAACTGCTTTAGTTTACACAAGGGGAGACTGAACCCTAGAAGGATGTGGTCACTTGCCGCAAGCCTGAACTATGTGCCATACACCAAGCCACACCTGGTCAGACCTGGGAAAGGTGTAGGTCTCCAGGGAACGGGGCTCCTGGCTCTCAAGTGGCTTGGGGTGTCCAGGGACTCAGGAGGCACCAGAGGCAGGGGCCAGGACTGAGGGTCTCTGCTTCTAAATATGTGCCTTTGACCAGTCTTCAGCCTAACTCGATGCCCCTGGTGGATGTCTTTCCAGCAAAATCCCTCACACTCTGGCTGCCATCTAGGCCATTTTCTGCCCTCAGGACTGATTTGGGCTCCAGGGCACAGAAGAGCATCCTGATGGATATTTCTGGGCTCTGTCTCCTGAGCCACCTTCTGGAACCCCGAAATACCTTTCTCGGTGCCGCTGGCCCCATCCCTGCTGTCTGGCTTGGCCTTCCTCTCCAGGGATGCTCTCAGGGCATGGACATCAGGTCAGGAACACACCTGAGTGGTCTGTGGGAGTGCTGGCAGGGGCTGGGCCACTAGCTCCCCACCTGGGCATCCCCTGCCCTCCTGCACCACTTCCTCCCTTGACCACTTTTGTGGGGCCTTAGAAGCCTGAGGTGGTGGTTAAATTTGAGACTTTGGAAAAGTTCCTCATGGGGAAGGGGCCATTCCTTGGGCAGTTTGGTGGAAAGAGGAACCTCTGGCTCAGCACAGGAGGGAGACCAGAGCTTATGCTTTCCTAACAGCAGCCAGGCCTCTGGAACCTCAGTGAGGACAGTGGGCTCAGTCTCACTCAGGAAGGTCCTCTCATTTCCCTAGGTCCTCTACTGTTCTGGCCTTGGTCTGCAGTAGATGAGCAGTGTGCCTAAGGGGCATGGAAAGAAGGGCTGGCCACTCCTCACCTCACCTGGACCACCTCAGAGCACTTCCTTGGAATCCAGTGTGCTTTATCCAAGAGCTGGGGAGGGTGGTGGGCTTCAAAAGCTCAATGGGTCCTGAGGGAGGAAGTGCTGAGCCTCCTGGGTACTCTCTGACCTGCTGCTACAGGTCCAGTGGTAGAGGAAGTGAGCAAGGTGCTGCTTGGGAGAAGAGCAGGAAGCTGGGCCGAGCACCCTGCTGTGTGGGGAGTGGTCTAGGGCCTCTGAACCTGCCCAGCTCAGTAGAAGTGGCTGGGTCTTCTGGCTCCATTCCATAGGGCCTTGAATGCTGGCCCAGGGCTCAGGCGGCCATCAGCCCCTCACTCACAGGCATGCTGATGTGGGCGCTTAGCTGGGGCACACCCTGGCCTTCTCGGAGAACCAGCACCTATGCAGAAGACACCTGTGGCAGCAGGGGGCATGCCCCTTGGCCCCGTGACCCCCTCATCTGCTCCCTGCAAAGGCCAGGCTAGTTGTCTGCACTGCCCCTGATGAAGGGCCACCAGGGTTCTGCCTGGACTGTGCAGATACCCACCCCCACTGCACAAGCCCCAAGGCTCTTGTCCATTCTTGCTCTTTCTGTCCACCCCAGGGTCTCACTTGTCTTCTAAGAAGTACCAACAGGAGACCTACCCTGATAATGTCTGAGGTGCCCTTGCTACTGAGACTCTGCACGAAGGTCTCCAGAGGGTAGTTGAGCCCTGGTACCAGCAAGGGGACCTAGGGGACAAAGAGATAAGAAAATTAGCCCTCGTGTCCACATAGTGCCCTCTGTCTCAGCTAACCTCAGGATGGGCAGGGATGACCAGCTGGTTCCAGGAAAAGCCAGTGCAGAGTGGGGGAGTGAACATTCTAGGGCTGTATGTCCTGTCTGTGGTTAAACCTGGATCTCTTGACTCCTACCAAGGCCATGGCTATCTCTTCTATACTCTAGGAATCTTAGATTCTGCACCTCCTAACTTGGGGTCTGTTGCGGTTTGTATCTAGATGCCCCCACCCAAGAGCCTCATGCACTAATAGGTGAGGCTTTTAGAAGGTGACTGGACTATGGGGGCTTACCGCTGACTTGCTATTAGAAGGTGGCGTCTGGTTGGAAGAGGTGGGTCACTGGGGGTGTGACCTGGAAGGGTTTATCCCCTCCCTTTATTCTGCTTCCTGTCCACCATGACTTGAGCAGCTCCTCTCTGCCCAGGTCCTTCCACCATGCCTTTCTGCCTTGGAACCAGCTGACTATGGAGTAAAACCTCTACAAGATGTGAGCCAGCTTTAAGTTGTGGGTGTCAGATATTGGGTCTCAGCAACAAGAAAGTGACTAAGATAGGGTCAAACAGGGGCTCTAGGGGAAAGCTGACCCTTCATTCCATGGAGATTCTCTTTTCTTTTTTTTTTGGTACTGGGGATCAAACTCAGGACCTTGTGCTTGCTCGGCAGGCGCCAGAACCACTGAGCTAAATCCCCAGCCCTGGAGATTCCCTTTGGAGTGGTAGGAAGCAACCAGCTATGGCAGAAGCAGCTGGGAAGCAGGGTGAGCCCTGGGGTCACCTGGTCCCTGGCAGAGATGGACAGAAGGGGTAGAACCCAGGCTCTGCTGTTTTCTCTGCACCTTCACTGGAGTCTCTCAGGGTGGGAAAACAGTAGCAGAGGCAGGACCTGGTGCTCCCTCCAGGTACCTGCCTGGCTGATCTTGCTTTCTGGCTAGTCAGCCTGCTGGCCAGCTGCTACCCTCATCACAACCTGGTTGGGGCTGTGGCCATCTAATAAGTCCCTCACCCCAGCCTGTCTGCCCCATGCTCACTGAGGCTGGTCCAGTACCTTGAAGAAGGCCCGAGGTAAGGCATAGAGTGCCTCGTCGTACAGGAAGCAGACCAGCAGCCCCAGCACGGGCCTGGCAGTCGAAGTGTTCTGCAGGTGCAGTGTGAGCTTAAAAGTGGGACCCAGGCCCTGTACCTGTGAAGCAGTGGTAGAGAAGGCCCTTAAGACCTGGTGGCCCTGGGCACTTGAACACTTGACCCGTCTGCCTCTCAAAATGCACAGGAGTCCAGAAGGTGTATAGGGGTCAGCAGAGGCCCAGAGATGGGAAGGGCCTTGATGGAGACCACTCAGCAAGTCAGAGGCAGAGCCCACTCCCTCCCGTGTGCTCACAGCTGCCCCCACCCCCTCCTTGAGGCCCGTTCTCCCTCCTACTCTCATCCTGGTGGCTTCAGAGATGTTATTTTCTCTCATACCTTGAGTTGCTCTTTAACCCTTTCCTCTTCTCTGTCTACTCTCTTAAGGGAAAGAGCCAGGGGAAACCTCAGTGGATCAGATGACACTCAGGAACCCACTGAGAGCTCGTCGGGACCCTGTGAACCTCAAGGTCATTCATGTCTGGGTGTGAGTGGGCTCCTTCTTCTTCCTCATGCCTGCACGAACCTGCCTCCGGATGCTGGGGTTGGGTCAGGGCAGCCCTTCCCTGTACCAGGCAGTTCTAATGCCTTGGGCTGCCTGTGGCTATCAAAGTGAACAACCTTCTTCCCAGTACCATGGCCATGAGGATCCTTCTAGGGTCCTGGGAAAAAAATGCCCCAAGGTGACTACTCTGCTCCCTGGCCCAAATCTGGGGTCCGTCAGAGGCACACCATGGAACATGCAGAAGAGGGCAGCACAGGAGGGTGAGAAGGTGAGAGCAGCAAGCACAGGAGGACATGGGACTTGCTCCCTGGGTCTGGGGGTAAGAAGGGAACACAGAGCTTGGCTGGCCTGACATTGATTCTGGGGACATTACTATGTGGTAGGGGTTCCCGCCCATCCCTGACCTCTGCCCTCTGATCCTGACACCCCACCCTTGGAGACTCACCACAGCATGCAACTTGAGTGGCTCCCGAGCTGTGACTGACATGGGACTCAGGCTGGACTCAAGGGCCTGCACATAGGCACGGGCAGCCCGGAGGTGTAGCAGGTAGAGGTCTGTCTGGAAGATCTGGTGCATGCCTGAGGAAGGACACAAAGGCTGAGGCTGGAGGGAAAGGCAGCAGCAGGGGAAGATCCTCCTGCTCAGGCTGCTGAGTAGGGGTATGAGAGGAAGGGGCGGCAGCAGGACCCAGAGAGGCTGGGAAAGTGGGGACCAGGAGGGACCAGGCCCAGTGACCCAGCCTTCTGGTGACACTGGGCACTGTGGACCACACCTTCCTTCTTCCTTCTTCCTCGTTCTCCGACCACCTCACTGCCTACACAATCTAGGAATTTCTTTGCTATTGTGAATGGAGTCTTTCCTATTATATTTGCTAACTGGATATTATCTGTACTGTATATATAAAAGCTTATGAATTTTTAATAGTTTTTGAGTTTTATATCTGGTCACTTTACAGAACTCCCTACTTTTTTGGTTTTTGGTACTGGGGATTAGACCTAGGGCCTTGTGCATGCTAGGCAAACACTGCCACTGAGCTACATCCCTAGCTTATTTTTCTGATCCATTGCTCTGCTATAAAATCCTGCTATTTTCTCAGCCCTATTGTATTTGTCCTTCAAACTGAGACCAAGATCCCTTTTAACAACAGAGCTGATTGAGTTACTGTATTTTTTACCTTAAAATCTTTGTCAGCTACCCACTTCCTAAACATGCCTGAACTTAGCTTTATATTTCAGGCCCTTTGAGAGCTGGCTCTGACCCACCTTCTCAGCCCCCTTGGCTACTCACTCCTTGGTGCTGTACCCACAGCTACATGACAGACACTTGCTTGGATTTAGGTCAGGGTCCTGTACCTCTACTTCAGCCTCTGCCTAAATTGCCCTTCCCTTCCTGCTGTCTGGTGGACTTATAATCATCTTTTGTTTTTGTTTTTTTGTACCGGGGATCGAACTCAGGACCCTTCGCTTGGCAAGGCAGGCAGCAGAACCACTGAGCCAAACCCCTGGCCTATAATCATCTTTTGATGGAAGTCAGTGTTACCTCTCTCTGAAGTTTTTATTTCCCAAATGAAATTTCTTATTCCTGCTTGTATGCCCAGTGGCCCTTAGCAGAATCCCCTTCTATACTTATCACATGAGATTAAGCTGGCCAGGTGGACTAAGCTCCCAAGGTAGAGAGTAGCCTAATTCAAGGCACCTGGAACAATCATAGGGAATGAATGAATAAGGGAAAGAAAAAAATGAGCAGGACAAGAGGAAGAATCTTGGTCAATTTCTACTTTTCTCATGAGGATTTCTGCATCTGGAAGTGACTGCTGCCTCTGAATTCTAAGGGTTCTTGTCCTCACCCAGAGCACTCATCACCTTGAAGAATGGTTATTTGAAGGCAGATGTACCTCCAACATTGTCCCTGGACTTCTAGAGACACAAGACCTGCCCAGTTGGCCAAGGTCTCCCACCACCCAGGGGACCCCAGCAGCATCCACCCTGCAAAGGAGGAGAAGGAAGAGAAGGAACCGAGTCTCACCAGTGCCAGCCTCCCGCTCTCGCAGTGTCTGATCCACATAGAGCCGAGTCTTTCGGGGCACGTTGAGTTTCATGGCTTGGGCTGGTGGGGAACCCACCTCACCTGTTCCTTCTACAAACACTGCTGTACGCTTCAGAATCTTGATGATCAGGCCACCGCCTAGGGAAGTGGACAAACATCTATCCTCCCTAGTTTTGGCTCACATTCTCTTTCTTTGTTCTCAAAACAGTCTCTGTACATGTCTGTCTTCCTGTTATGAACTCATTTTCTACAAGGAATGAAGTGTATCTCAATCATTTCCTATCATTAGTTCATTTATTCATTTAGCAGCTATTGATGTAATGCTTTGAGGTTTGAGGCACTGTGGAAGGTGCTAGGGTATTGGGGTGAATGGGGGAGATACCACCCAGCCCAGGGCCTGGCCCCTTGGCAGCCACATCAAACTGCTGAGGAGCTGTCCTGACAGCGGGCAGGCCCAGGCAGGACTAGTATGGACAGGACTAGCTTCCACCCAAGTCCACCTCAGCTTCATTTCCATTTCATCTTAGTTCTGAGTGCCCTCACCTCGAGTAGTCATAATGAGGGTGTTGTCCTCCCGCCCGTAGCGGCCAAAGCAAAGGCTGGTCACAGTATCCTAAGTGGAGACACAAGAGTTTAGCTGGGGAAAATACTTGAACAAGAAAGCACAATGGAGCCCCAGCTATGAGATACAATGGGTGATTTCGGAGGAGAGGCCTGGGGCTATGTTGCCTTGCAAAGAGTTACTGTATTTCCAATTTCCCTTCCTGCCTCAGTGTCACAGCCAAAGTTCCAGACTAAACACCACTGGCCCTCACTTTTAGGGTTGCCTCCTGGTCAGTCATCCAGCCTATTCTTCCTCCCCGGTCTGTCCTTTGCAATGCTGCCTGGGCTGCCTTTCAAAAGCACAAGGCCTCAGTGGCTTCCACCATGTGTCAGGACATTTAAGGCCCATCTGCCTTAGCTACCAGTTTCCTCCTCTCCCAATCTTACCTGCCCTCCCAGCACTGTAAGGCTCAAACCAGTTGCTTTCAGATTTTATGTTGTGACCCAGGACAATTATATACACATGTAACAGTTTCACAAATGTCTGTCCTCTTTTTTTAAATGTTGTTGGTTGTGATCCACTAAATTGATACAATGATTCACAAGTTAAGAGTCTAGAAATCTCTGATCTAAACCCATCAAGCTATCTGGATTCTTCCATCAAGAACCTCCACACCTCTTAGCCTTTGTTCATGTTGTTCCCTGTTGAGAATGTTCTTCCTCCATTTGTCCTCTTGGGAAACTGATTTGCCAGGTGAGCTGTCACTTACTCTGGGAAGTGTCCCATGAGTTCCACCCCTACTTATCTCTTGCCCCTTTTCTTACAGTCACTCAGCTCCCTCTGTTTTTCCAGTGCTTTGCTCTGCTTCAGTCTGCCTTGTGTTAATTTGCTATGTCTCTGGCTGGCTGTCACCTTAGACTGTCTCTGAAAACAAGGTCTTAGTCATTATTCTGCCCCCTCCCCAGTATGGTAACTTAATGATGTTTTTGAAACCAATCAATGTGAGGTGGCCAGAAGCAGTGAAGCAGCCAGGATGAGATTAGGGCAAGGAGTCAGCAGTAGATGCTGGAAGTGGGACTCACTGGGGTGCGGATGACATTGAGCAGCACTTTGTCCCGGTATATGCGAACCTCTGTGTTGGCCAGCCCAACCATGACAGCCTGCAGGCTGCGGGAGCGGTGCTCCAGGAGGTTCATGGTCAGGATGGCTGCGGGCATCTGCACCGTCCACAGCTTCTTGCCCTGGCAGGAAATGGCCAGTGTCTGCAGGGGGTCAGGGCTTAGCATGGAAAGAAGGGGTGGCTGGAGTTGCAGGGAAGGGGAGGTCACACCTTGTGGGTGAAGCCGTGCAGGCTATCTTGGGTGCTGCCAATGACCAGGATCTTGTGTACCTGGACAAGCCCCACAGGCTGTGCACTCAGCTCAATGCTGTACTTAGGGTGCTTGGAGTCTCTGTGGAACAAAGAAACCCCATTGTGCCCCAGAGAACCCTTCTCCCCTGTCCCGGCTGATGCTCCTCTTCCTAAGCCCCAGACTAACCTGAATGGAGGAACCCAGGCCCAAAGCAGACAACCCTGGGATTGTTTCTACCTCCACCACTTAGGAGATGTGTGACTTTGGACAATATCAAGTGTGTTTCCCTACTCTGTCCCCTTCTGCCCCTACTATGGTGATGTGTATGATAACTTGGTATTTAACAGCTTATGTTAGACTAGTCTACTCAGTGTTAATGGATACAAGCAGTTTACTAGTTTATCAGAAAAAGATGAAGACTGGCTGTGTAAATGTACTGTTTTCAGTCTCCTAGCTTCTCAATCTTAGTTTCCCTTATCCAGAAAATGGGGGTAACTCCTGCCTTCTAACCTCACCAAGGCCAACATCATGGCCCATTTGATAACTGAGAGAGTCCTCACTGGTCTCTGGGCCTCATTCCAATCACTCTCTATCCAGCAGAGTAATCTTTTCTTTTATATCGAGACAGGATATCTATGTTGTCAGGCTCTCAGAGCTCAAGCAATTCTCCTGCCTCATCCTCCTAAGTAGGTGGGACCACAGGCTCACACCACCATCCCCAGCCAAAGTGATTTTTTAAAAATGTAAATAAATCCAGGCAAGGCGATGCACACCTGTAATCCCAGCACTTTGGAAGGCTGAGACAGGAGGACTGAAAGTCTGAGCCCAGTCTGCAAAATTTAGTGACTTAGTGAGACCTTGTCTCAAGATTAAAAAGTTCTAAAAAAGGGCTGGGGCCAAAGCTCAGTGTGAAGGCCCTGAGTTCAATCCCTGTACTATAAAAACAAATAAACAGGAAATGACTCATGTGACTATGATTAGAACACCGTAATGGTTTTCCACTGCATTTTGGATAAAATCCACAATCTCTGCAACATCCTACTAAGGTAAGATAGAAGAAATAAGGATAGAGAGGAAGGAGACAAGGAAAATTGTAATTTTAAAATTGTACTTTTTTTTTTGCGGTACCAGGATGGAACTCAGGACCTTGCACTTGCTAGGCGCCACTGAGCTAAATCCCCCGCCCTTAAAGTTGTACTTTTAAGAAAGCTACAGCTTGGGCCAGGGATTTACCTCAATGGTTGCGCTGCCTGCCTCGCAAGCGCAAGGTCCTGAGTTCGATCGCTGGTATCAAAAAAAGAAAGAAAGAAACAAAGCAAGCAAGCAAGCAAGCTACAGCTACAACTTCAGGGTACAACAAAAGTTACCCAAGGTGTCAATTTTCTTTCTCTTCCATGCTACTCTTAAATCCTGAAAGTCTTAAAAATATAATCAGCCTAGAAAATGGGCCCCTCCTTGCCTTTCACTTGTAAAATGAGCCAGACCTTTCTACAGATTCAGACTCCACAGATTCCCACCCCTAAAACATGTAAAATTATATCCAGTACTAGAACATAATGTACCTCATCCCTACAGAAACCACCCCCACCGGTCCCCTTTTTGGTGGTACTGAGCACTGCACTCAGGGCCTCACACTAAGATGCATCACCAGCCCTTTTAAAATATTATTTTGAAACAGGGTCTTGCCAAATTTCCCAGGCTGGGCTCAAACTCGTGATCCTCCTGCCTCAGCCTCCCAGAATGCTGGGATTATCAGCATGCACAATTGCACTCCCTTCTGACTGTGTACTTCTTTAATTCTACTTAATAACTCTTTAAAGCCTCTTACTAATGAATCCTGAATTTTTATTGTGTGATGAAAACTGGCAAACCTACTCTGTCTGAGGTCTCCATCTCCTTTTTGGGGGCACTTCCTTGGAACCAGTTTGGAGACACTACCAGTTTCTGCAGGAGCCAACCCTGGTTTCCACTTCATCTCTTCCCACCCTCTTCTTTGCCCACCAGACATAAGTTGCACATGCTCAGCTCTTACCCCCCTTCAGTTTGCCTACAACACTCTTCCCCCACTTTTTTTTTTTTTGATACCAGAGATCGAACTTGGGTCCTTGCGCTTGCTCAGCAGGCGGCGAAACCACTGAGCTAAATCCCCGGCCCTACCCTCACTTTTTGAACAACTGGCTCCTTAAACTTTAAGCCAGAGTACTCAACCAATTTGCAATACCTTGGTTTGTTGACTTAGTATCTATCTTCTGGGGCTGTGGGTGTAGTTCAGTAGTAGAGCTCTTGCCTAGCATGTGCAAGACCATGGGTTCCATTCCCAGCAAACACACACACACACACACACACACACACGCACACATCTGTCTTGGGCTGGGGATTTAGCTCAGTGGCACCATGCCTGCCTGGCAAGCACAAGGTCCTGAGTTCATTTCCTGGTACCAAAAAAAAAAAATCTGTCTTCATCATTGAAGGCAGAGACCATATCTATAATATTTTGTGCATCAGTATAGCCTCAATACCTTGCTCAGTGCTCAGTGTAGAGTAGGTACTCAATAGATTTTTCTAGTTTATTTTTCTGAGACAGGGTCTTGCTACATAGTCCAGGCTGGCCTTGAACTCCTGCCTCAACCTCCCAAATCTGGGATTATAGGTGTGTGCCACCACACCTGGCTTCAATAAATATTTCTTGAATTAAAAATGTTGTATGAGATATAAAATTAATGCATAAGGAAGTGCCACATATACCACACACTTATATAACAAATGTAAGACTATTTCTATTTCCTCCGACTTCTGAGCACACGTCTTATAGCCAGCCCCCATTTCAAAGCCTCCCGACATCCCCTCTATGCTCATGAGCTCAGCCTACTTTAAATTCTCAGCTTTTTCCATTCCCAAATTCCATTCCCAAAGCCCCCTGCCTAGCTTGCAAGCCTTTGAAAGCACCAGCTTTCTGAGATGTTTCTTCTGGCCCAGAGATCATGGCTGTGATTACCTTTTCAGAATATAGATGGTCCCATTGCGGCAAGCAGCTGCAAGCTGGAACTCCACATCAAACTGACCAGAAGCCTCCAGGAAAACAGGGACACTGGGAATGTCCATCTGCAAAGAAAAGGCTCAAACATCCTGTCTCCTTCCCTTAAGTAACTCCTCCAGGTTAGTACCTTGTCTGAAGTCTCACTTTCCTCACTCAGACTCTGTTGGTCACAGGATAAACTCACACAATTTTCTGGAGGGGAACTCAACATTACGTAGCAAAAGCATTTTTGTCTTATCCTTTGGCTAAATTGCTGCCTCTAGAACTGTACTGTAAGGAGGTATTTAAACAAACATGCACAAAATATTTGGTCAAGAAAATCTACTGAAGTGGTGTCAATAACAGTGGCAAACTGAAAACAGTTTGAATGTACAGTAGGTGTGAGGATAAATTATGGTTCATTTATATAATGGACCTATAATAGCCTTTAAAAAGTTTAATGTAGGGCTGGGGATTTAGCTCAGTGGTTCTGCCGCCTGCCTTGCAACCACAAGGTCCTGAGTTCGATCCCCGGTACCAAAAAAAAAGGCTAATGTGGTTTTATAGACATGAAAAGACACTGATATAAACAGCAAGTTACATGAGCCTGTACTGTGACCCTGTTTTTGTCTTTTTTTTTTGTACCAGGGATCAAACTCAGGACTTTGAGCTTGTGAGGCAGGCGTGAACACCACTGAGCTAAATCCCCAGCCCCCCTGATTTTATCATGATATATAGTATATATGTATAATTTATTGTTATATGACTATGTCCATATATGAAAATGTCTGGAAGGACATATGCCAAAACTTTAACAGTGGTAGAAGTTTTGGATATGTATCTTTTTCTTTATGCTCAGCTACAGTTTCTAATTTTTCTACCATGTATGTGCACTACCCAGAACACACTAGGAACACAGGGAGGAATGCAGCCTGGGCCTTGGGTGTGCCCAGGGCCAGACCCAACACTGACCTCGGCCAAAATAGTGAAAGCCTCAGGGTCGATAATCAGGAGCCCCTTATTCTCGGTGCCCAGCACAAGACAGGAAATAGCATCTTCATCAGCCAGGTTCTTCTTCAAGGTGGTCATGGTGGTGATGACTGTCTGTGGAACACCTCCAGAGTCACACAGGGAACCCCCTAATACCCTCCCAACCTCCCTACATGCCACAGGAGGGAAGAGGGCAGAGCAGAAGGCATCAGAAATGTGACGGAATATTTAGGTGTAAAGCGGTTTATTGCAACAAATCTAACTTCCTAACAAAAAAAGCACTGTGTAAGTCACTTATGAACTATTCACAAGACCAGATCAATGCAGTCATTTTTTTAAAAAATCACATAGGGCCAGGGATTTAGCTCAGTGGCACAGTGCCTGCCTTGTAAGCACAAGGTTCTGAGTTCAATCCCTGGTACCAGAAAAAAAAAAATCACATTTTAAAAAAAGATTCAGTGGGGCCAGAGATTTAGGTCAGTGGTTCTGCCACCTGCCTCACAAGTACAAGGACTCAAGTTTGATCCCCAGTACCAAAAACAAAAAAAGATTCAATGGCAAATGCATCTCCTGGGAGAGAAAAATAGGTAAAAGGTCATGTTAGGGTAATCCCAGTTAAAAATATATGTAAATATACAATCATGGTGGAAGGCCAAACCTTTAAATACTGGTTATCTCAGGATGAGATGATGGTGCTTTTCTAGAATTTCTACAATGGGAACATGTTGCTTTTTACTTTTTTTCTCTTCTTTTTTCTTTTTAACTGGACAACAAACAACAACAAAAAGATGCTCCCTTTCAGAGGAATTTATCCTATGGATATTAGCAGAACCCAAATGGTTTCCTTAGCCATCTACTGTGTGATCATCATTAAGACTTTTTGAAAAAGAGGAATCATTCTCAGTACCTAGTGTCAGGAGAAACATCACAGGAATGTAAACAGCTGTTGGTGGTTCCCAGTCCAGTAATCACTATACATGCTTGGGAAGATTGTCTCCTTCTCCCCAGCTCAATAATTAATTCACTTCTTTTTTTTTTTTTTTTTTTGGTACCTGGGATTAAACTCTGGTCCTTGCGCTTTGGAGGCAGGCAGCAGAACCACTGAGGTAAATCCCTAGCCCCTAATTAATTCACTTCTTGGTCTGAAAAGTACTCAAAGATGTTGACAGCTATAGACCTGAGCTGTTGATCAGCAGGAAGGAACAATACCTTTCAGGACAGTCTCGCAGAAACTAGCAGCATGTGTCAGTTAATGTGTTCAGGAAAGGTGACCTCAACAAGTGTGGCCAGCTACCATGAAGCTTTCTAACCTACAGTGCAGCTCTGGGAGCCTGTCTCTGCACTAAGGGTTGGCAACACTAGGTCAGGAAACATGGGAGCTCATCAATGTGGTCAATAAAGCCCCAAAAATTATAACTAAGAAAAATATGAAGGGAACAAAAGAGAAATATTTCTTGTCCAATGACCTGCATATTGTCACGCCCAGCGGGTGAGGCCATTGCTGTTGCAGAGCATCATATCTCAACCCCTCAGCTCAGTTCCAGTACAGGCACATCACCTTTGGTTCCAGGAAACATCTGAACCACTACCTATTCCTAGGAGTGTGGCCACACTACCTTTGCCTACAGACTTCTCTCTGTAGCTTCTCCTCAGACCAACGCCTGACAACCCCTCTCCCTTAAAAAGCTTTGTTCTCCCTTTGCTCCCTTTACACTTTTCTGACTCAGCCTGCTTGCACCCAAGTGAATTAAACAGCCTCATTGTTAACACAAAACCTGCCAGGGTGGTCTCTCTACTCTCTGCAACTCTGATACATCTGGTGCTAAAACCCAGGATAGGGCAACCCTCTCTGGAAGGCTTTCCTGCCCTATCCTGAGCCTTTTGACCAGGCCACCCTGTGACATTGGCTCCTCAGACTGTGCCTCAGAACGAGATCTGGACAGTCCCCTCCTGCCACTGCAGATGGGTAAGATTTCTCCCTCTATTCCCTCACCCAGAGAGACAGAGAAAGGTTCATTCTGTTTTTCATGTTTCTTAAATCCAGCACCGGTCATGGAAATTCTCTGGGAAGACAGCCTTTCCTTGGTATCTGGCCAACTTTGAGGCTGCCTGCCTTGGTCACCCATCTTTGTTATGGCCCTGAGTCCCAACTGAAGATGTCCATTGTGAACCTTATTGCTGCTCTCATTACCTCTCTCTACTCTCCATGGGGAATCTCCCTTCCTCTATTCCTCTCTTCTCCAATACAGATTTGAATAGTTATAAAGTAAGAATGAAATTATGAATAACCAATAAAATAATTAAGGGGCCACTAAACATGGAGTTCTTAAAGACTAATTCTTAAAATTCGAGCTCATATAATGATACATACTCCAAGAAAGCAGGGTATAAAACTGTATTTGTGAGGGCCAGCGATATAGTTCAGTGGTTCCAGCGCCTGCCTTGCAAACGCAAGGTCCCGAGTTCGATCCCCGGTACCAAAAACAAAACAAAACAAAACAAAAATGTTGGGGCCGGGGATTTAGCTCAGTGGTTTTGCCACCTGCTGCACAAGCGCAAGGACTCGAGTTCGATCCCTGGTACCAAACAAAACAAAAAAACTGTATTTGTGAAGAAAATGTACCAAAAAGAGTAGGCGTCTTGGGCTCAGGATGTAGCTCAGCAGCACAGTGCCGGCCTGGTAAATGAAAGGCCCTGAGTTTGATTCCCGGTACCAAATAAAAAATAAAAAGAGTAAGTATCTCTGGATAATGAAATTATAGTCACTTATATTTCTCCTTTATACTTGTCTTTATTTTCCAAATTTTATAAGTACATTTTTTTTTTTTGGTACCAGGATCGAACTTGGGACCTTGAGCAGGAGGTTGAGGCCAGCCTGGGCAACATAGTGAATTCAAGGCCAGCTGAACTATATAGCAAGACTCTGTCCCAAAAAAGAAAAGAAAAAAAAAAGCTGTCACTGGCTGAGGGTGTAACTCAGTGATGGAGTGTTTACTTAGCACGGCAAGACCCTGAGTTCCATCCTTAGCACTGCTGCGGAAGGGGTGGGGGTTGTCACTATTAAGGAAATGCACAAGACACAGCAGCTTTGTGACTATATACATGTGGTATAGCTGGAAGAGAAACTATAAAGTGAAACAGGTCAAGTTTGGGTAGAATTTACCACTGATGGTACATAGTCTCTTTAAAAAAATTTAAAAAGTTTTTACAGGGCAATAAAAAAAAAGAGAGGGGAGCATTACCTGCCGCTTGATGGTCTTGGATTTGTTTTGGTTCACAAATGACTCCATTTCACTCAGTTCCAGCTGCAGAAACCTGGACACAGAGAGAACTGGCATCTGCATGTTCTGTCCTGGCTGCCTTTGGGGCCAATCCATAGCCACCACCCCACCCCCCAGTCTTCCCACAGTCCTTACCTGAGTGACTGTACAGACAATGGTATCTCTGCCTTCTCCCTGTAAGGAGAGCACCCAGAGTGGCAGATTTAGTGGAGAAACCAGGCCCTGGGGGTCAAACTGAGAGCTTTGGGATGCAGGAGTGTGGGAGGGGGTAGGGAAAGGTGGGCTCTCACCGGATGCTCTCCAGCATCTCCTTCAGGGTTAAGGGGTCAATCCGGTCCTGGGACAGCAGAGGAAGAAGGGAGAGCCTGTGAACTCTGACACCCATACCCTTAGGGAACTCTATACTTCTGGCAGCTCCTCTTCCTCCCCCCAACTTTCCTCCCAACTTGACCTTGCACTGAGCCCCAGGCCCAGGTCCTTGATTTGAATCTAGCCTCAAGGGCACACTCAAGCACAGAGTCCTCTTTATCCACATCTCCCTCAAAGTCTCTAGCTCTTCCTGCTTCCACTTTCCTCCTCTTCTCTGGGGAGACCCATCCTTCTTTAGTTTCCTTTCCCCAACAGGTGGGTAGAGGTGTGGCTACTGTAGGGGAATTCAATAGGTTCCACTCTCCAAAGGGCCTGCTGGGTGCCTTCCTGAGACCTACAGCCAAGGGGCTGAGAACAGCACCTCACCTAGAAGGGCTACCACTGCTACTGGTGGTGATGGGCCATGGCTGACCTACCACCACTGGCCCACTGGGGACCTTACCCTTCTTGCTGGGAGCCTGGCCCTTTTCACCCAATAGCTGTTAATTTTGCCTTTTGGTTCCCATCCCCTTTGTCACTTACTTCCTTTGCCTGGTCCCAAAGGTCTTGTTCCAGAGGATTTGGAGGCAACTGGGGCAGGTTGAACTTGAAGTAGGGTCTTAGATTCTTATATACATAGACACAAGGACCTGAAGCCAGTGCCAAAGCTGGAGTCCGGGGCTCATGCTGCTCCATGAGGAAAGTGGCGGCAGCAGCTGGCAGGGAAGGCAGTGGGCTTTCTGTCAGCACTGTTGCTCCTTTGAGCACCTTCAGGTAAGGATTCTGCCCACCTGGTCCAAGGTCTCCAACCACCAGCTGCAGGAAGAAGATGGCTCATTCTAGACTGAGATTCCAAATGACTGACCCCCTTCTTAGGCTCAGCCTTTTTGCTGGTGCTTATTAAATCACCCCATACTACCAAAGGCTTTGCTGTCAGGTCCTTGGGAAAGTTAATTGATCTTTCTGAGGCTCAGGTTTCCCATTTGCAAAATGGGAATTCTTACCTCATGACATATGTGGTGAAAATCGAGTGAGATAATTAATTACAGAATCTGGTTGAGTGTTTGTGAGGAATAAGTGGCAGCTGATGTTTTTATACTAACTAGTCCATTCAATAGTTCTCTCTTTTTGGTACTGGGGATTGAACCCAGGGCCTCATGCATATCTACCACTGGACTAAATATTTCTTTATTTACAATTTTATTTATCTTTATATTAAAATTAAATTTAAGCATTTACCTTTTTTTTGGTACTGATTGAACTCGGGACCTTGCGCTTGCGAGGCAAGTATTTACCCTTTTATTACGGAAAATTTCCAATCATATACAAAAGTAGAAAGGCATGTATAATGTACCCCCACATACCCATTATCTAGCTTCAATAATTATCAGATCTGGGGCCAGGGATTTAGCTCAGTGGTTTCGTCGCCTGCTGCACAAGTGCAAGGACCAGTTCAATCCCCAGTACCGAAAAAAAAAAAAAAATTATCAGATCATAGTGAATCTTAAAATTGATGCTCTCTTGATAAACATTAAACAATCTCTTTCTCTTTTTACTTCCTCTCCAGACTATAATGCCCACCCTTAGCCAAGAGATTTGTGCTTCCAGCAAAGAATTATGTCAAGGTAAGTATAGTAAAAGGCTTTATCTTGGTAGAATCCCCAGCAGCATTTTGTTCTACTTTACTTTCTTCCGTCTATATTATGAAATCAAGTTTCTCTTAATTTTTAAAGTAAAAAGAAAAGTTAACACTAAATATGATTTTCACAGTATATGTGAATTCCAGATTATGTTAAACCTCTTTGGAGCCATTGGGAAATCTTACATCTGGACAACTCCCCCCACCTCCATCTGTTCTGTGATTGCTTACCTTGTACTCTCCATCCCCATGCAAATCTGCTAGTGCTGAAAAACAACACAGGGCCATACATCAGTCTCAGAATCAGTCACATTGCCTAACATTCTCGAGACCCTGGGTTCAATTCCCAACCTCACCACGGGACTATTATCTGACTCCCCCATTCACTTAGAACTCAGAGTTCCTGGTCCCAGAGACTCACCCAGGCAGGAGGAAAAGGTGTGGATGTTGGCCATAGGGTCGTAGTGTGCATCCAGCCATTTCGAATTGGCCTCATTGCTGAAAGTTGGGAGAAAGAGTGGGAAAGTGAGATCCACAGGTGCGGAGGAAAACTTTGAGGGTGCTGGTGTCTAAGGAGTGTAAGGGCTGTCAGTTGGGAATAGAGAACGTCTGGGTCCCAGTCCGGGCCCCCGAACTGGCGCACCGAGTGATCTCGAGTCAGGCACACATGCACTCCCTGGGTATCGGTTCCCCTGATCTCTAAGCGCCTTTCAAGGACTTCTGGCGCTGCCCAAGAGCCACAGGAGTCTACAGCCCGGGACCATGGTACCCTCTACATCTATGGGAAAGAAAGCTTTGAGGACCCGGCCTTCACCTCTCAGCTCTGCCGCTATCGAAATCGGATGAAGATTTAGCAGCCATCTTCTTAGTCGTCTTGGCAACCGGCCCCTCCCCCGCTGCCGCGCCTGGCCCAGTAGAGCCCGGGTACCCGGAAGTGCACGCACAAAGGTTCCGGAGCGAAACTTTCCCAAGGTGGGGTCGGATGCATTGGCATCTTCGCTGGGTGCAGGGTGCTGGGGCGCGGACCCTCATCCCCGCTTATTTTGATGCATGTTTTTGTGCTCTACAGGCTTTGGCTTCGAGGCCTGGAGAGGAGCCCCTGCTAGGGTTTAAAGCACCTAAACGAACTTCATCTTCAAGGCTCAGTTGAAAAGGGCCATGTCCCTTCTGGGTATCTCTCTACAGAGGCCCAGGCTCAGAGAAGAAAATACGAGGGTTAGGGGGCAATATGGCAGATGCTGACAGAAGCTGATTGTTTCTGGTTTTACTTTTTTTTTTGGTACTGGGGATCGAACTCGGGTCCTTGCGCTTGCGAGGCAGGTGGCGAAACCACTGAGCTAGATCCCCGGCCCATGAGTGTTTCTGGTTTTTAGGCTCCTGAATTCCCCCGCCCGCGCCCCGTAAGGGAGATCAAACTCAGGACCTTGCGCTTGTGAGGCTGGTGTGGCGCCACTGAGCTAAAACCCCGGCCCTCCTGGGAATATTTTTAAATGCTAGAAATGCAACAAAGGAGGGTTGCAAAAATTGTGCTGTGATGTAAAAATCCTGTTGTGAACAGAGGGGAGGTGATGTTGGCAAAACTCCCTCCCCAGGGCCTTGATCACACTGCCCTATAGGCAGCAAAAGCAAGGAATCATGCACATTGCAAAGATGGTAGTTGTTTCTAACATTTATTTTTCTAGTTATAAAAGTGATACATGAAGAGCAGTGGATTTGGTGAGAACATTTTGAGCCCCAACTCAAGTCACATACCACCTGCAGGATATAGATCAGTCATTTCTCAGAACAGCCATTTCCTCATCTGGGAAACCAGATAAGGAGCCCAGTAGTGTCTACTCCATAGATGGCAGCACAGATCAAATAACTGAGGCAAAGCACTTGATAAAAGTGTGGACAAATGGAAGGGTTAAGTGTTACCAACCTTAGCTGAGGTAGCACCAAAGTCCCAGCTCCTGCCCCTCCCCTAACCCCTTGATTACACAATGGAGGGCCACACACAATCCTGGTTTGGTGGAGTAGAGGGAGGAGTCACACAAATCCTCAAGCTTGGCTAGACTGGGCCTCACTGGAGCTCTTCCAGAATTGGGCATCAGCAGTGGCCAGCTGGGTGAGAACCGCCTCCAACTCAGGCCCATCCTCTGGGAATCGCTCAGAGAAAGATTTGATGAGTCCAGCTGCTGAGGCCTCGTACTCAAGAAGCTGCACTTCTGAGCCTGGGTTATGGAGAGCAAAGAGGGAAGTTAAATCGTAACAACGTAATCATAGAACAACTGGTTCTTACTGAGCTTTTGTGTCCCAAACTCTGTTCACTGTTTAGGTTAGTTATCTTAGTCCTTACAATCACTCTGCAAACCCAGTCTACTCCCCACCCTGTCTGGCTGTCACTAAAATAAAGATTTACATCCCGTGTCTTCTTAAATGAAACAAATACAATCCTTGGCCTCCTGGAATTTACAGTCCAGTACTTGCTTCTTCTCTGTCTAAACATGGGCAAGTTTTCCAGCATCTATGAGACTCAGTTTTCTCATCTGTAAAGTAGGAGTAAGCATAGTACCTCTCAAGGAACTATGGTGATTACATATACCAATGCACTGACCCAGTGCTGAACAAATGCTAGCTGCCACCAGCAACATCATTATTCACTTGATTATTTCATCTGTTAAAGGGGCCTGTTCTGAGGGTCCCATGAGTACTCACAGGAAGCATTCTCTTCTGCCACACTTCAACTGCTCTACCTACTCACAGCACCTGATGGTCTGTGGCACTGCAAAGTGTACAGTAGTTAAGAGCACAGATTTTGGGTTCAGATGGCTCAAGTTCAAGTCCTCTGTCCCCTACTAGCTCTATGACCATAGGCATATATGCAGCCCTTTTGCGTCTCTGTTTCCAGACGAAAAATGGGGATAACTATCCCTCACTTGGTAGTTAGGAGGTAATTATGGAAAATTTTTTACCAAATTCTTGTTATTTGGAAGTCCTCAAAAATTAGCTATCATCACCATCATTATCATTACTGAAAATTCCACTTTTTCTTCAGTTTAGCTTAATCATCACTTCCTCTCTAGATCTTCCTTCTCCTTAGCACCCAGAGCACTGTATCTTTTGGGCCTCATTAATGCTTCTCTTGTATGATTATTATTTCTATGTCATATCATTTCTAATGGGGCTGTAAAATTCTGGGTCCCATTTACCTCTCCACCCCCCACTGGCTCACACAGGCCCAGACATATCAAAGCAATGGTGGTATTATCCATGGAGCTGGCAGGATTTCTTCATTTACTCATTTGACTACATGGAGCAGCTGCTGTGTGACAGGCCCTGTGCTGCGGCAAGGTCTGTTGTTCCTGGTATGCTGTCCCTACAATCATGGAGACAAGACAGGCAAGAAAGTAGCCAAGTGGAAACTGAAGAATAGAGAAAGAGTTAAGGGGAAGCACTTTATGCTTGCACCTTTACTCCTCTGCTGTCCTGTGCCAAGGAGAAGCAAAATGTAGAGCCGGTTTGGAGTTGCTTGCGGATGCATCTCTCAGGAAGTACAATTTAACAGAGACCTGAATGACAAGAAGGACCAGACAGGCACAATCTGTGAGATGCTCATGCCAAGCAGAGGGAATAGCATGTCCAAAGGTTACAGAAGTGAAGACAGCTCAGTGGGCTGGAGAAACGGAAGGGTACACAAGATACAAGCGCCATGCGGCCTGGTCCAAGCTTCTGGAAATGGACTTGTCACTGAGAAAGGACAGGGATGGTGGGGCTGATCTCCATTGTGAACACTGTAGAGTCCAATATTCCTTTGGGTTCCACTTGGCCTGCTGAGTCCCAGCTTATTGCCTGGACTGACCTCATGCCAGGGCACCTGATAGCTAGGATTCTCCAGTTTCTGGTCTGGCTGCCTGATGAACCCCTACTCTGCTGGCCTCCTTCAACCCTTCTGTTGACAACCAGCATGACCCTGTGAATGGTGGTGGCAGTGGTAAATGCTAAGGTTTTGGTCCAAGGGCATCCTTTGTGCTCCAAAGGCCCTGAATAGTCCCCATCAAACTTCCCATCCCATTACCTTCCAGGTGAGTGTTGGGTTGTACAATGAGCTTCCGTGATTCCTTGCGCAGCAGCACTGTGTCCCTGAGGGTGAGGAAGCACTCAGGGGGAGCATCAGTGACTGCTGCATACCCTTCATACAGGGCCCGCCCTCCGGCCACATCCCCTGTGGATTTCATTACCTGAAGGAACAGGAAAAGTGTATAGGGTGAGCACCTACCTTGTATCCACAGGGCTCTGCCAGGGGCCACAGCTGATTGTGCTCAGCCCCAAAGGGTCCTCTGGGCTATGGCTTGAATGTGTCTCCTCCAAAATTCAGGTGTTTAGACTTAGTAGCTTATGTAATGCTATTAAGAGGTGGGGACTAGGTCAAGAGGGTTCCTTCTTTGTGAATGGGATTAGGTCCTGTTAAAAAAGGCTTCAACCACCTTCCACCATACAAAGATGAAGTGTACCTTCTCTCCAGGTGCCACCTTGGAAGAGGAGAGTGGCCCTCCTCAGACACTGAACCTGCTGATGCCTGGATCCTAGGCTTCCCAGCCCCTGGCACTGTGAGAAATACATTTCTGATCTTTATAAATTATCCAGTCTCAAAGGCAGTCTTGGGGCCGGGGATTTAGCTCAGTGGTTCTGCCACCTGCTTCGAAAGCACAAGGTCCCGAGTTCAATCCACCTTACCAAAAAAAAAAAAAGGCAGTCTTCAAAATGCTTCTCTGTCATAGGGTGTATAACCTTGGATCATTTACTAAACCACTCTGAGCTTATCTCAAAATGGGAATACAATCTGCTTTCTCACTGTTGTGCTGAATGAGGAAGAAATGCAGATCAAGTGTTTAGCTCACTGCAAATGAACTGAACTGAATGTTCATTTGATGTGTAGATAAGGCAGCCATCACATTTACTCTTTTTAAAAAACATTTCATATGCACAAAAAATAGTATGTTTGGGCCAGGGATTTAGCTCAGTGGCACTGCGCCTGCCTCGTAAGCACCAGGTCCTGAGTTCCATCCCCAGTACCAAAAAAAATAGTATGTCTGTCATAAAAGATAATCAAAGACACTCCCCCCCCACCATGCTCTCAGTAGCCCATGTAAGAGTTAGTCTCAGATGGCATCCCCATCTGAGCAAATCAGTTTTCAATTCTGAGCAGTTTCCTTGCTTTCTGAGTTTTACTCTGGATCACTTGATATTTTAAGTTTTTCTGGGTTTTTGGGGGGGAGGGTAATACTGGCTATTGAACCCAGGGCCTTCACACTGAGTTACACCCCAGCTGTTCTTTATTTTTTACTTTGAAATAGAGTCTTATGAAATCACTAAGTTGCCTAGGCAGGGCTTGGACTTGCAATCTTCTGCCTTAGTCTCCCAGAGTGCTGGGATTACAGGTGTACATCACCACTTCTAACAAGTTTTGCCTCTTTTGAACTGTATACATTGATTTGCTTTTTTTGCTTGAATTGTGTCTGAGATTCATCTGTGCTAACACAGCAACTACAGTTCCTCATCACTGCTGTATCATATTCCACTCATAAAAGCACTACAACTTAATTTCTTCTACTGTTTATGGATAATTCATGGTTATTTTGGTTCTGTAAGTGGTGCCGGGGATTAAACCTGGGGCCTCCTGCATGCTAAGTACAAGCTCTACTACTGTCCACAGCCACAGACCTAATCTGTGTCTTCTGTTGAAATGCTGCTCTGAATATCCTTGTAGGTCTGGTGAAGGTTTATCCCTTAAATTATATCCTGTAGAGGTTTTGTTACAGGGTTTGTTAATGACAAACTGCTTTTGTTTGTCTAACAATGTTTTTAATCCCACATGCCTGTAATTGCAGCACTCAGGAGGATGAGGCAGGAGGATTGCCATGAGTTCAAGGCCAGCC